ATCTTGGTGGTGTAGATTAATACAGTACAGTGACCCCTCGTTTAACGAACACCTCGGTTAACGTAATTTCGATTAACGAACTGCCTTCCATAAGGATCTTCAATTCGGTTAACGAAAAAAAATTCGGTTAACGAAGTTCTTACGAACCGACCTCAACATGTTTTCGCTTGCACTGACCGGGCAACCAGCTTTAGTATCAGTCAGCCAATACATTAATCGGTTCTAGGGCTTAAATTCCTTACTATTTTAGTAAATATCAAGAAGTTTATACTATTCAATAATTTTAAAAGTTTAATAGTCAATTTTTTAGTCATTTTAACAATTATTGAATATAATTGAAGGTAAAGTGACTAGTTTAATGCGCGGCATCCAGCCTCTTAACACAGCAAACAGGCGTTAGTCTCTCTCTGTTTTCACTGGAGGTAACATCTTGCTTGAGACTCTCTTCAACTAAACGCTTTTTTCTGTGTTTCCAAGCAAATTATTGGTCATTTTGAAATATATTTTACATATTGACAATACCTGTATATAATGCAGTGAAGTGTTGATTTAAAGAAAATAATCTTGAATTACACCACGAGAGCCAAAATTTTATGGGTGAAATGGCGCCATGGGGTGACTTCTCTTCCACCCCAATGCCTTCTCTTCCTCCTTCTCCTCCACCCCCATTCTAATTCCCATCATCATCATCATCATCGAGGAGCCTTCTACATACACACCTCAAAGTAAGTGAACTTTTCTACCATTTTTGTTGAATTTAGGAAATTTTCGGTGAGCTGGAACCAATTACCCAAAAACCCATTGAAACAATGGTTTCGGTTAACGAACGACCTTGTGGAACGGATTGAGTTCGTTAATGGAGGGGTCACTGTACAGTTAACCCTCACTTTACGCGGTTAATGTAACCCGGAGGGTCCCGCGTAAAGTGAGAAACGCGTAAAGTGAATAACATAACATATGGGATTAATTGAAATGGAGTCCGGGCCGATCCCCAAACTCCACTTTTTGACGACACACAACTATGTTGTAGTAAAAATATTATCTTAACTTTATGATGGTATGCACACACAATTAATAATTAAGAGAAATATCAATAATATTAGGTTTTTTAACACTTACATTAGTAGAAAAAATGGCTGGGCACACGGGGATGGGCGGTTGGTTCCGAGGCAGAGGGCAGATTATTGGCCCTCACCTGTGTCACTTGTATCAATTGTATCACTATCCACCACAGAGGCTTGCAGGGCCTCTTTGTCAAACTCCCCAAAGTCCATATAAGTCCATATCCTCACCATAATTATCACTATCACTGACTTGGGCCGGCTGTGGTGGGTGGCGGGTGAAGAACTGGTAATGTTTTGATGACTGGGCGACCATGTTCGCGCAGCTTACACAACATGGCGGATGGCGGGAGGTTTGGATCCAAAAATGGCGCGGCTCGCCAGCCGCTCTCCGCGTAAAGGGGTACACGCACCGCGGAATGTGAGCATCCTGGGTTCCGGCAGGGCACCGCGTAAACGTGGAAACGCGGAATGCGGGACCGCGTAAAGTGAGGGTTAACTGTATAACCTTTTTTTCTATATTTTCAATTTCTTTCCGTTCTTTTTTTTCGCCCCCCAGGCTCCGTTGTGGGTCGTTTGACCTGTGCCTGGGTGGGCTAATTCCCGTAAAAAAAAAAAAAAAAATATCAAGTAGGTTGTACAGGTTGACAATCCCTTATCCGAAATCCTTGGGACCAGAGGTATTTCGGATTTCGGAATTTTTCGGTTTTCAGAATGGTTAGTTTTTTGTGTGTGTGTGTGTGTGTGTGTGTATTTGCCCACCCGGGCACAAGTCACTGATCCACATTGGGGCCTGGGCATAGGTCTAGGTCATGCTTCTCACTTTTTATCTTTTTTCATTCTTGTATTTCTTTATTATTATTATTATTATTATTATTATTATTATTATTATTATTATTATTTTATTAATACAGTATTATTGTTATTATTATTATTTTAAATTTTATTATTATATTTTATTATTATTATTATTGTTATCATTATTATTTTATTTTGGTGTATTTTTTAATTAAAATTTTTATTTACTATGAATAATTATTATTATAATTATTATTATTATTATAATTATTATTACTATTACATTTTCGCCCTCCAGGCCCCGATGTTGGTCAGTGATCTATGCCTGGGTGGGCTAATCCCTGGTTAAAAAAATAAATAAATGCTCCACAAAAAAACTTTCGGTTTTCAGAGCTTTTTGGTTTTCGCAATTTCGGATAAAGGGTTGTCAACCTGTACTATTCAATAATTTTCCAAGTATTATTAAAGTTTTTAGTAATTTTAACAATTATTTAACATAATTGAAGTACAGGGAACTACAGTAAAACCTCGATTAACCGCCCACATATGGGGGAAGGGGCCGACGGATTTCTATTGAAATATGAATGGCAGATGAATAAAAATGAATAGAGGGGCTTAAATGAGGTAGGTTAGGGAAAGGTACTTTGAAAATGTACCTATCCCTAACCTACCTCATTTAAATCCCTCTATTCATTTTTGTTCATTTGCCATTCATATTTCAATATAATTTACTTTAAAACATTAACCACTTTTGTAATAAATATGAACCAGCACAGAAACTGTGAATAAAAAATGGAAAAGTCAAAGAACATATGGCATCACAGAAATTGTGACCAAGTCCCAGGTTGCTCATCTTACTTTCTGCCTCATTTACACACAATTGCAGGGTCTCAATTGTTTCTCTTACTATTGACAACACAACATACACATACAGTGGGGTATGCTATAACGAACGTAATTGGTTCCAGAACCTCGTTCGTTATAGCATTCGTTCGTTATAGGATTAATCCATTCCAGGCCCCCAAATACAACCACTTAACACTGAAAAAATTCTGTGGAAAATGTAAAAAATACGGTACTTTATCTTACCTTAGTGTTATTCAGCATGCAGGTACCCCTAAACACTGGCACAGCACTATCACTTCCACTGGGAGTCTTGGCTTTAAGGTCCTCAAACAATTGTTTCGCCTTCTCACAAATTATAGCTTCACTAATGTTACCACCTGCCATTTCTTTCTCCTTTATCCACACTAAGAGTAAATTTTCCATCTCTTCAATCACATTACACCTTGCTTTGCTAAGTCTAGAGATTCCCTTAGCCACTTGCACAGTTTATAACTCCTCTTTATTCTTCAAAATCGTACATTTAGTCGATTTAGCCATCCCATACATCACTAAGTTTCGCAATGCTTCTTCCATTCTCACGTTTCTTTATAATTTCTTTCTTAGTTTCAAGGGTTATTAGCTTTCTCACTCGCTTTGGACGATTCATTGTTACAATTGTATACTTGTATAACAAAATAGTTATACAAACAACGCGAATTTCCACATCAAAAGACGAAATTTCAACAATAAAAGTGGTGCACTGGCTACACAATGAGACAAAGATGGCGCCTGACGCTCTTGTTGTGGGTCGCGATACAACAATATTCATGCGCCGGGCGAAATAGTCCCGTATTCATCCGCGTTCGTTGTAGGAGTTGCGTTCGTTATAGCATTCTCAATTTTATAGGTAAAACTGTTCGTTATAGGAATATTCGTAGTAGGATCCGTTCGTTATAGCATACCCCACTGTACAGTCAATTCTGCTATAACGCGATAGTTGTGTTCTTGTAAAACATCGTGTTGTAGAAATTCGCGTAATAGAAATAACAGGGCTTATGGAGAAAATAGGGTTAGGTGCAGATTACTACTAGAAATCGAAAAAAAATTTAGTAGTTAGCCTAACACAAAGGATAGCACAGTCAAAATAAATGTTACATTCATATCTAATAATGAAATCATACAGTAAATAACACTTTACCTTGAAAAAATAGGAATATAACTTGATGGGGGAGAAGGGTGATTTTGAGGTTGATAACATCGAGCTTCTCTTCAAGGGTTATAGCCTTTCTTTTACGATCATCACCGGGAATGCGATCTCCAGAACGCTTCTTGGAGATATTCTTCTTTACCATATTCACAGTTAATACCACAAAATTGGAGAAATAGTAAGAAAAAATCGTGTTACAGCAAACAAGCGTTCGCGTTATACAAATATCGTTCCTCTATTCATAAATCGCGTTAGAGCCAATTCGCGTTGTCAAAACACGCGTTATAGCAGAACTCACTGTAGGTATATTGTTTCTCACTCTTGATTTTTTTTCCATTTTTGCATTTCTTTATGTTTCTTTATGTTTCTTTATTATTATTATTATTATTATTATTATTATTATTATTATTATTATTATTACTATTATTATTATCATTACATTATCGCCCCTCAGGCCCCGATGCGGGTCAGTGACCTGTGCCCGGGTGGGCTAATCCCCGTAAAAAAAAAAAAAATTAGGGGTTCGGGATCAGTGGTTAATCCGAAAGTCGGTTAACCGAGGTTTTACTGCAGATTTTAGCACGCCAAACAGCCACTTGACTGACCCAAAATGGCGTCAGTGTGTGTCCCTCCTCAGTGAACGAAGCATCTTGCTTGAGACTCTCTTGAACATAAACTATTTTTACGTTTTTCCAGTACAATTATTGGTCATTCTGAAGTTTATTTTACGTATTGATTATATATAATGCAGTGCAGTGTTGATGTAAAGAAAATAATCTTGAATTACACCAAGTGAACTAAAATTTTGAGAGAGAGAGAGAGAGACTTCATATTCACCTGCAGCTTGCTGTTTTCCACACTTGTTGCAGGGCAGCATCGGACTCATCTGCATCGTATCACTTGTGTATCTCTGAATCAAGTCCCAAGCATTGACCACATCTTTACACTTCTCACAGTATCCTCCCAGCCAGTTGTGGAGGCAGAGTTCTGAAAGAGAGAGAGAGAGAGAGAGAGAGAGAGAGTGTTAATAATGCTATGTTGAGGCATAATTTTGTTTTATAATTTTGTAAACTAGGTGTTTTGGTTGATTTTTGTCCCATGCAACAGTTATTTTGGTAATTTAAGGAGATTTTCTTGTATATACAGTGAACCCTCGCTTTACGCGGTTTCACGTTTCTACATTTACGCGGTACCCTGCCACCCTGCTAGAACCGGAATTCCCACTTTACGCGGTGCATCTACTCATATACGCGGGTGAAGTATAATTTTTTTATTTAGCTCATAAAATTCATACAAATTATCCGGCCAGAATATAATATACATTGCTGGAATTCTTACAATTTGATGATCATTTTGATTATAAGCATCATAGATTTTGCATTAGACATACAAATTTTAGATCTAATGCAAGTAATTTGTTTACTCAGAGAAAATATGTTATCTTTTGTGCAAAATATATGAAGTGTATATTCAAAATATTCCTGGTCTTGCAAGGAATCCAGCAATGTCAATTATATTATCCTAACTTTAGTCTCAGGTATTATTTATTACTAAAAATGTAAATATACTGTTATAACCCAATCATTTCTCTGGTAGGGAGGGAAGGTGGGGGTGAGGGGTAGGGAGGGAGGGAGGGACCCAGGGAGCAGGTGGGAAGAGGGGGGGAGGTGGGGTATTTTGATTGACAGATAGTATTTCGGTAAGTATATTTTGTTTATTTATTGAAGATATTTGTTTTAGCTCATAAAATTCATACAAATTACCGGGCCAGAATATAATTTACATTGCTGGAATTCTTACAATTTGATGATCATTTTGAACATAAACATCATAGATTTTGCATTAGACATACAAATTTTAGATATAATGTTTACTCTGAGTAAATATGTTATCTTTTGTGCAAAATATATGACATTTATATTCAAAATATTCCTGGTCTTACAAGGAATCCAGCAATGTCAATTACATTATCCTAACTTTAGTTTGAGGTATTATTTATTACTATACCTTAAAATCTAGTGGTTTTCCCCCAAACATTTTTCAGAGAGGGAAGAGCCAGGAGTGTGAGAAGAGGGAGAGGGAGTTGAGTCCATTATTTGAATGGACATTAACTTGGCGACTGTATATCTCTATTTCTCTTAAGTATTAATTGTGTGCATGTACCATCATAAAATTAAGATGTTATTTTTACTAGAACATAGGTATTGTGCCGGAAAAAGTGGAGTTTGGGGGTCAGCCGGTCTCTATTTCATTTAATCCCATATGTTATGTTGTTCACTTTACGCGTTTCTCGCTTTACGCGGGCCTCCGTGGGTTCAATTGACCGCGTAAAGTGAGGGTTCACTGTCCAGGGTATTGATGTATTAATTATGTAAGAATATTCTAAAATGTATTGCATCATTTTTGTTATGAATTAATTCTTATTGTAAGCCAAGATAATTCTCCAGGCGTGTTGCGAACCGAACTCCAGCGTCTGGACGTTGCTAGAATGCTCTAGGCGTCTGACGAGACATGTATAAGCGGCAGTGAGCGGCCTTGAGTCAATAGATCGCTTCCATTCAGAGTGTAAAGACTAAGCCTAGCAGAACAACTGAAGGCAATTGTTGTGCAAGTATTGTGGAATTGTTGCGATTAATATAAAGTGAGAAGACTAAGGAATTGTACACTGGTAGTGTGCTGACTATATACTTGAGCTGAGAATACATTACCCTGTTAACAGTGTTGTGAAGAATTACTGTTTATTAAAGACTACAGTGCACAAGTGTGTTTCAGTGACCTGGTGGAAATCTACCTGCCAGTTGTTTGTCTGTACACTGATACCGATCATCGGACAATTACCGGAGACTGGCGGGACAGCCGGTGGTAATTTGAGAACTCTTGTAAGATATCTACTGCTCTGTACATACGACCGTAGCCGCTGGTAACCAGTGGTGGAAGATTGGTAAGCGGTGAGTGGAAGAGGGTCATAACAATAGATATAATGTATAGTAATGAAGCTTCTAACAAACTACATGGAGAGGGTAGTGTTTTGTATCGAGGGCCTGTTATGTGTGAAGCTTACTGTATACCTCATGAATATGTGGAGAGAGAGAAGTACATTATAAAGAGGTTTTCAATGTACGTACTAATAAAAATAAACACATTAAGAGGTTAGGTTAGGTTAGGTTAGGTCAGGTCAGGTTGCAACTATAACACACACACATTGAAAATAACTGTTACTACCTTGACATGCTGCACAAGGTAACTTGTGAATGAGAATATCATCCACATAAGCTGCCACCTGGTAAAATTGCTCCAGTTTGCCACTGTTTATGAAGTATTCCAGAGTTACGTCTTCACATTGGCCCAGCACACCTGAAAAACATTATGTGAGGTATAACACACAACCATCCCTAAACATATATGATTAATGAGCTTTAAAACACACACACACACACACACGATAGGTCCTGGCAGGGACAGAGGTACTCTCACTACAGAAAGTATCTACAAGGATAGGTCCTGGCAGGGATAGAGGTACACTCACTACAGAAAGTATCTACAAGGATAGGTCCTGGCAGGGATAGAGGTACTCTCACTACAGAAAGTATCTACAAGGATAGGTCCTGGCAGGGATATAGGTACTCTCACTACAGAAAGTATCTACAAGGATAGGTCCCGGCAGGGATAGAGGTACTCTCACTACAGAAAGTATCTACAAGGATAGGTCCTGGCAGGGATAGAGGTACACTCACTACAGAAAGTATCTACAAGGATAGGTCCTGGCAGGGATAGAGGTACTCTCACTACAGAAAGTATCTACAAGGATAGGTCCTGGCAGGGATAGAGGCACACTCACTACAGAAAGTATCTACAAGGATAGGTCCTGGCAAGGATAGAGGAACACTCACTACAGAAAGAAAGTATCTACAAGGATAGGTCCTGGCAGGGATAGAGGTACACTCACTACAGAAAGTATCTACAAGGATAGGTCCTGGCAGGGATAGAGGCACACTCACTACAGAAAGTATCTACAAGGATAGGTCCTGGCAGGGATAGAGGCACACTCACTACAGAAAGTATCTACAAGGATAGGTCCTGGCAGGGATAGAGGTACACTCACTACAGAAAGTATCTACAAGGATAGGTCCAGGGACAGAGGCACGCTCACTACAGAAAGTATCTACAAGGATAGGTCCTGGCAGGGATAGAGGTACACTCACTACAGAAAACATCTACAAGGATAGGTCCTGTAGGGACAGAGGCACACTCACTACAGAAAGTATCTACAAGGATAGGTCCTGGCAGGGATAGAGGTACACTCACTACAGAAAGTATCTACAAGGATAGGTCCTGATAGGGACAGAGGCACACTCACTACAGAAAGTATCTACAAGGATAGGTCATGGCAGGGATAGAGGTAAACTCACTACAGAAAGTATCTACAAGGATAGGTCCTGGTAGGGACAGAGGAACACTCACTACAGAAAGTATCTACAAGGATAGGTCCTGGCAGGGATAGAGGTACACTCACTACAGAAAGTATCTACAAGGATAGGTCCTGGTAGGGACATAGGCACACTCACTACAGAAAGTATCTACAAGGATAGGTCCTGGCAGGGATAGAGGTACACTCACTACAGAAAGTATCTACAAGGATAGGTCCTGGCAGGGATAGAGGTACACTCACTACAGAACGTATCTAAAAGGATAGGTCCTGGCAGGGATAGAGGAACACTCACTGCAGAAAGTATCTACAAGGATAGGTCCTAGCAGGGATAGAGGAATACTCACTACAGAAAGTATCTACAAGGTTAGGTCCTGGCAGGGATAGAGGTACTCTCACTACAGAACGTATCTACAAGAATAGGTCCTTGCAGGGATAGAGGTACACTCACTACAGAACGTATCTACAAGGATAGGTCCTGGCAGGGATAGAGGTACACTCACTACAGACAGTATCTACAAGGATAGGTCCCAGCAGGATAGAGGCACACCACCTACAGAACGTATTCAAGGCGATAGTCCAGGATAGGGAGGTACTCTCACCAAGGAACGATTCACAAGGATAGGTTCTGTAGCAGGGACAGAGGCACACTCACTGCAGAAAGTATCTACAAGGATAGGTCCCTGGCAGGGACAGAGGTACACTTTCACTACAGAAAGTATCTACAAGGATAGGTCCTGGCAGGGACAGAGGCACACTCACTACAGAAAGTATCTACAAGGATAGGTTCTGGCAGGGACAGAGGCACACTCACTACAGAAAGTATCTACAAGGATAGGTCCTGGCAGGGATAGAGGTACACTCACTACAGAAAGTATCTACAAGGATAGGTCCTGTCAGGGATAGAGGTACACTCACTACAGAAAGTATCTACAAGGATAGGTCCTGGCAGGGATAGAGGTACACTCACTACAGAAAGTATCTACAAGGATAGGTCCTGGCAGGGATAGAGGTACACTCACTACAGAAAGTATCTACAAGGATATGTCCTGGTAGGGACAGAGGAACACTCACTACAGAAAGTATCTACAAGGATAGGTCCTGGTATGGACAGAGGAACACTCACAACAGAAAGTATCTACAAGGATAGGCCCTGGCAGGGATAGAGGTACACTCACTACAGAAAGTATCTACAAGAATAGGTCCTGGCAGGGATAGAGGTACACTCACTACAGAAAGTATAAACAAGGATAGGTCCAGGCAGGGATAGAGGTACACTCATTACAGAAAGTATAAACAAGGATAGGTCCAGGCAGGGATAGAGGTACACTCACTACAGAAAGTATCTACAAGGATAGGTCCTGGCAAGGATAGAGGAACACTCACTACAGAAAGTATCTACAAGGATAGGTCCTGGCAGGGATAGAGGTACACTCACTACAGAAAGTATCTACAAGGATAGGTCCTGGCAGGGATAGAGGAACACTCACTACAGAAAGTATCTAGAAGAATAGGTCCTGGCAGGAATAGAGGAACACTCACTACAGAACGTATCTAAAAGGATAGGTCCTGGCAGGGATAGAGGAACACTCACTACAGAAAGTATCTACAAGGATAGGTCCTGGCAGGGATAGAGGAACACTCACTACAGAAAGTATCTACAAGGATAGGTCCTGGCAGGGATAGAGGAACATTCACTACAGAAAGTATCTACAAGGATAGGTCCTGTCAGGGATAGAGGTACACTCACTACAGAAAGTATCTATAAGGATAGGTCCTGGCAGGGATAGAGGAACATTCACTACAGAAAGTATCTACAAGGAGAGTCAGATGATTTTCAAAATGAACACTCGACTACTGTTGTCTCAGTTGGTTGTCAAAATCTTTCCCCTATTGTCATATTGTCTAACAAAACAATTATAGACTTTTTGCAGTGAGTAATCAAGGGTGCCTAATAATGTTGAGGTGACGATTGTTGTCATTTGTAATAATAATACTGTAATGATAATAATAATGATTAATATTAAGACAATTTGATCAAGAGCAGCAGAGAAGATCATAAGATACTTATTACCAGTAAGGTTGTTAAGTAGTTCTATTACTATTATACTTCTGTGATAGAGAAGGGAAGATAGTGAAGAAGAAGAACAGGAAAAATAGGAGAGAAGGGTAGATAGGAGAGAGAGAAGGACAAAGGAAGAGAAGGCAGGACAGTACTGTACAGTGACTTACCTAACTCCTTAGTTGGTGACACACTTGTCAAGGGCCCCAATATTTGGTGGAGCCGCAGACCAAGGGCTTGGATGGTTGGGAGTTGCAGACCAGGGCTTGGGATGGTTGGTGGAGCTGCAGACCCAGGGCTTGGGATGGTTGGTGGAGCTGCAGACCCAGGGCTTGGGATGGTTGGTGGAGCTGCAGACCCAGGGCTTGGGATGGTTGGTGGAGCTGCAGACCCAGGGCTTGGGATGGTTGGTGGAGCTGCAGACCCAGGGCTTGGGATGGTTGGTGAAGCTGCAGACACAGGGCTTGGGATGGTTGTAGGGTTGCAGACCAAGGGCTTGGGATGGTTGGAGCTGCAGACCCAGGGCTTGGGATGGTTGTGGGATTGCAGACCAGGGCTTGGGATGGTTGGTGGGCTCGGAGCCAGGGGCTTGGGATGGTTGTAGGAGTTGCAGACCCAGGGCTTGGGATGGTTGTAGGAGTTGCAGACCAAGGGCTTGGGATGGTTGGTGGAGTTGCAGACCCAGGGCTTGGGATGATGGTTGTGAGCTGCAGACCCAGGGCTTGGGATGGTTGGTGGAGTTGCAGACCCGGGGCTTGAGATGGTTGGTGGGCTGCAGACCCAGGGCTTGGGATGGTTGGTGGAGCTGCAGACCCAGGGCTTGGGATGGTTGGTGGAGTGCCAGACACAGGGCTTGGTATGGTTGGTGGAGCTGCAGACACGGGAACAAGGATATAAAAAAAAATTAAATGTTTTGTCGACATTTGATGGACTGCATTCATCACCATCACCATCATCGACACAGACAAGGGACAATGGATGCCTTTGTTTGGTCTGATGGCAGTAATTTCCATCCTGATATCCCAGAATTCAGAAGATCATCAGGTGGAATTACTCCTGAATTTCCCTGTACAGAGGAATCACGTGAGATGGATTATTTTTTTGCGTTCTTTGATGGTGCAATTATGGACTTACTGTGTACCGAGACAAACAAATTTCATCAGTACACATGTGAGGCTGACCCCGGCTCTGGCCCCTTGCCACACATGCGTCGATGGAATGATGTCGGTGCTGCCGAACTGTATGTGTTTTTTGCATTACTGATGCTGATGGCACAGGTGAGAAAACATGTACTTCAGGAGTACTGGATATCTCCTGATGATATCACTGCAACTCCATTGTTTGCAAAATTCATGTCCAGAGACCAGTTTGCTTCCATCCGACATTATCTACACTTTTTAGATAACATTCCTGTGACTAGTGACAGACTTTGTAAAATAAGGGAAGTTTTTACGATGCTGAAGGAACGCTTTACCAAGTTCTTCAGACCGTTTCACAACGTAGTGGTGGACGAGTCTCTGGTGCTTTTCAGAGGACGTGTTGTTTTTAGACAATACATTCCCCCCAAACGACATCACTTCAGGATCAAGTTCTTTGTGCTGTGTACACTGACTGTGATACTGGGTACGTCTTAGATCTCATAGCTTACACAGCAAGTGACGTAGACATACCCAAGGACGACCCACATGGTTTCTCTGGCGCTGTTGTCAAGAAACTTATGGACCGCTACTTTGGAGGGAATCACATCCTCTACACTGACAATTATTATACTTCTCCTGCAATGACCAAATTCCTACTTGAACATGACATCGGTTCATGTGGAACTGTACGCAAGAACCAGAAACAGTGGCCCGTGTTTACTGGTAAACCAGCCCGATGAGAGATCCAGCTGAAGCAAGCAGACAAGATGCTTGCAATACACTGACAAGATAACCGTACTGTGCGGATGCTGTCAACCGTTCGCAAGGGTGAAATGGTTGACAGTGGAAAAAGGGAATCGACCTCAGGAGAGGTTATGAAAAAACCTGACGCTGTTGTGGACTACAATGTCAACATGCGCCTCGTGGACAAGAGTGACATACAGGTTGGCTCAATTGAGTGTGCAAGGAAATGTCTGAAGTGGTGCAAGATGATGTTCCTACACCTCATGGACATCACCATCCTGAATGGATACAAACTGTACCTAGTAAAAACCCTCTCTCGGGGTTTTTCAGAAGCAAGTGATATTGAAAATCCTAGAGAAATATGGTACCATCGTGGCAGCTGCACCACGACATCACAGCCAAGCAGGCCTACCTGACAGATTGCTTGCACGTGACTGGGTTGTTCGTCACAACACGGACTTCTTACCAATTGGTCCAGGTGGTCGTTGTAAAGGCCTGGACTTTGGGATATAAATCCCTTGCCAGCCTAATCAGGATCTTATAAAAGGAAAGTCACGAACCATGGGTTTCCAAGGGGTAACAAACAACCGTTAGAGATTGACATCTCTTTACTACGAAAATAATCACAATAATTGACACCACTCACACAAATATTAAATAAACAATTACGGGAGTCAAACAAAGTGCAGATATTTCCTACGGCTGCAGCCCAGTGGAATGTTCTGATAATGCGGTGGTCCGCTCTCAGGGCAGCTTCCTCACTTGGCGCCGGCGTTTGTGGGCGATGTCTTGCCACACAGGAGAGACGCCAGGGCACGGATGATGGATAGGGCGTGGTGGAAGTGGCGATCACATGGCAGCCGCGGTAGTAACCGGAGTAGGTGTCCGGAGATTAACAGCCGAATAGTGAAGGACTGAGGAATCAGCCTACGAGCCCCAGGAGCCTCAGATGAGCACACAACCAGGGTTTAAATTGAACAGCAGGGGAAGTACAGCTGTGGTACTGGCTGGCTAGTGTCTCATGTGTGACGAAGCAGTAGCGACCTTCTCACATCCCCCCACAGGGGGGCCGCGAACAAGCAACGAGCGGTGGACAACCATCCCGCTCGTTACAGCCCTGACGGTCGTAAGGGGCAAAGCGCAGCTAAGCGTAAGGACGTAAAGACTTGGTTCAAGGAGTGTGACGTTGGTCTCTGTCCTCCTTGCTTCGTGGAGTACCACCCCAAGAAAACAATCTAAAACAATGTGTCACGTGCTTGTAAATAGTGTAATAGTAGTATAAGTGTATTTGTAAGAAACAAAGTAACATATTTGTGGAAAAGGTGCACAGTTGTACGCCTTCACTCGTCTCTACCCACTGGTGCTAGCATACACCCAGGGTCAGGGTGGCAACACACCACCTCACTTATCTAAGCACGGTCAGAGGGAAGCTTCTTGATTAGTGCCTTCTTTTGTTTGTTTATTTACCAGTGTTTGTCCTTTTTATCATGTTGTATCAAATTAATATTACTAAAAGTAGTGTAGTATTATACTGCCAGACTGGGGTCACTAATTCTAAGGGGAAATACTTAACTCTAATCTTAATTTCTAAGGGTCGCTGCCACCAGACCCCCTCTGGACAGTATGTAACTCGTTAGGTAGCGGGCAGAGTGGACTAGGCATTGGGTTAGGTTTTTCATTGACCAGATCGATAAGGAGAAAGAAGGGTGAAACCATAACATGTCTGAACTAATTTATTCTTTATAAACTATATGGTAACAAAAAATACAATTGAGCTGGCCTTCCTCAGAAGAACAACGATGAGTTTGGTTACCCTGCTTACAATATCCTTTAACACTTCGGACTGCTCCACCTGTATGGTGTATAGCACCTTAGGTCATCATACATAGTAACACCATCTCACCTCCCTGTAGCACCAGCTCACCACACCTGTTATACTACACACCTGCAAGTATGGGACTCCTTGTGATTTCTAGGTACACGTATCAGGCACCTCGTTTGCACACCGCCCTCGATGGGTAGAGACGAGGGTTACACCCAGAGACATACCAGTACCGTTTCTGCGCCTGGCATTATAGGTCACTCCAAGTGACGACCGCGGAGTTTCTCAAGCATTTCCTTATTTATTCCTACTCATTTGGGGTGGTCTGCTGGGGATCCACAGGTTCACAGTGGAATAGTATAGCTGGTAGTCACCTCACATGGTGGGACGCTCACAGGGAGAATGGCCGACGCCCAGCAAGGTGCTCCGACCGCGTGTGACCTGATGTGGCGGTAGAACGGAGGACACTGAGGGCACTGCCCCGACGCTCGTCACCGCGTAGACCTACAGTTTCCAATCTTTAATTTTTACTTTTATTTCTTACGGTTCTCACCTGAACAATGTCCTGTATACTGTAACTCATGCCTTATAAACACATCTATTAATCTTAGATTACACACTAAGGTAAGGTTCTGGTTTGCTAGTTCATGGGTAAATTCATTGGGTTATAATATCAACGCGGCACACCCGAGGCGGCCTAGGTGCCAACCCAAACAAAGCCTAGCATCACTTCCAACACTTCACATAGTTCTGATACCTTTATCCTTTTTCCAGATCATTGTTCTCATGTATTTTCATATGATATTTGTGGAAGTTATGTTCGCTACACTTTCACAGACGTAAATAGTATGACCTTCAAACCATGATCCACACTTAGTCCTACAGTACACTAGTCCGGCTCAACTGGACTTTCCCAATCATCTTGTGGATACCCTGAGTTCTCCTTAATGCTATGAATACATACAATTAATATTATATAACAGTACCTGGGTACAATACAACACATGATTCAGTAACATTGAGTAGGGGAGTTATCCTTTATCAATGTTTCCCGTTCTCTGAGATTCTACAAGCGCGGTGGATTTGAATGTTATGTAGCGTAATATGAATTAAAAGGGTTTTTAGGAATGACAATGATGTGCGCAGTACAGTATCACTAGATGATAATGGTATGATAATATTATGAATCTATTTATTTGTGGAATTATTATTCCCATAATTATTTATGACTTACTTGCTCTACCAAACACAAACACAACCAGACAGTCTGGCGACCGACTGGGTGTGTGTCGCCGAACAGTCTTTATGAAAAGTAATGCAAATAAAATAAAATCTAAATGAATTATTTATAGGAAATAAGTAAAAATATGTATTTTTGGCCATCTCGGACACAAAGGAGATGGGAAGGGGGACCCCTAATGCATAGTGACCACGAGCTGCTCCCTGTAAGAAAACCCACCTTTCTCCTTATTTCACTCGTCACTGATGGACAATATATAGTTTTTCTTACGTCTTTTTTATTGTTTTATCATTTATAAA